GGCAATTTAGCTTCTCTACCTCCTCTTCCAGGAACCCATGCCAACACTTCCATTTGATCTTTTATTTTTCATGAAAGAAGTAGAAAAGATGATCTTATTTATTTGTTCTCACCTTAATAAGCCTGTTTCTTTATGTTCTTTAGAGGAGTAAGCTCCAATAATAATGTGAATAATTACAAAGGAGATTTTAATGTTTGAGGATAGGAAAATTTAGGGAAGACAGTAGAAAAATGTGAGGGGAAAATGGATGACTGAATGAGTATTAAAGTTATATAAATAATAAACTATAAGGCTTTAGTTAAAATCACAATTATCACAATTTTATTGGAATCTTTGAAATTTTATCAACTTGTCATTTTTTCTACTTTAGGTAAGATTGATTGAAAAAAATTACCCTATTAAAGAACACAAAAAATGTTATAAAAAAAAGAAAAAACAACTATGTCATGTGGAACTTATAAAACAATACAAAAAGCTTTGTCATTATTAACCTCAGAGATATACTAATGAAAATCTATTCCTAAATGCTCAATATTATTATGAATTTTGTAGGATACACTGATGATAATTATTGTTTGTCTTAAAATAATCCCTTTTAAGGTTTACACTAAAATAGAAACATTCCTGGTATCCTCATACACAGGAATTTTACATTTTGAAGAAGCAATGTGTTTCAAAGAAGTATTCAACTTAAGCAACTTCGGTATCTGAATAGAAAGAATATAATATTTACTTCTTTCTTTTCAACAACATTGTTCTACTTAATTTTGAAGTAATTTTAAAGGACCAGAAGATGCTTTGTTTTTTATGTTGCATCCACAGACTTTATCTTCTTTCAGGGTTCTGATGATTATGCTTTCTGTTGCTGAAGTGTCAGCCTAGTGTGTGAAATTTGGCAGTCATTTTTAACATTTCATTAGTCTGTGTGACAAGTTGCTTCCTGTCATACATAGATATCACTGGTACTTTTCAGTTTATGTCACAAGTAAACCTAATTAAACATATACTGTGACTTTGAAGTAGTGGTCTGCATCTATGACAACACATGGGTCACCTTCTTTCCTTTACATTCAAGATAGATTATCTATCTACCTATCTATCTATCTATCTATCTATAGATCAATCTATCTATCTACAGATTGTATTCCTATCTATCCACCCACCATACACACCCCAATATCTGTATAAATTAGAAATAATAAACTTGAGATATATTCTTTCTTTTCTTTTTTTAACTTTTTTTTTTAGTTTTCCACACTAACTTTTATAAGATTTTGAGTTCCACATTTTTTTTCTCCCCCACTCCCAACTCTACCCCCTGACAAGATGTCAAGCAAGGTCATACATGTATAATCCTATTAAACATATTTCCATATTAGTCATGTTATGCGATAAGAATCAGAACCAAAGGAAAAAACCATGAGAAAGAAAAAAAAATAAGAGGAAATACTGTGTTTTGATCTGGACTCAGACTCCACAAATCCACAGTTCTTTCTCTGGATGTGGATAGCATATTCCATTTTGAGTCTTTTGGAATTGTAGATCATTGTATTACTGAGAAGAGCTAAGTCTATCAGAGTTGGTCATCACACAGTGTTGCTGTTACGATGTACAATGTTCTCCTGGTTCTGCTCACTTCCCTCAACATCAGTTTATGTAAGTCTTTCCAGATTTTTCTGAAATCCACCTGCTTGTCATTTCTTATAGAACAATAACATTCCATTATATTCATATACCACAACTTGGTTATCTATTCCTCAATTAATAGGCATCAAATCAATTTCCAATTCCCTGCCACCAGGAAAAGAACTAATATATTTTTTTTTGTGTATGTAGGTCTTTTCCCCATTTTTTAATAATCTCTTTGTGATACAGATCTACTGGTGCTATTGCTAGATCAAAGGGTATATACATTTTACAGTCCTTTGGGTATAGTTACAAATTACTCTCTAGAATGATTGGATTATTTTACAACTCCACCCACAATATATTAGTGTTTCAATTTTCCTACATCTTCTCCAATATTTATCATTGTCCTGTTTTGTCATGTTAGCCAATCTGATAGGTGTGACATGGTACCTCAGAATCATTTTGATTTACATTTCTCCAATCAATAGTGATTTAGAAATTTTTTTTTCATATGACTATAGAGATAGCTTTAGTTTCTTCCTCTGAGAACTGCCTGTTCATATCCTTTGACCATTTATCAATTGGGGAATGACTTGTATTCTTATAAATTTGAATCAGTTCTCTATGTTAGAAATGAAGCCTTTGTCAAGACCCACTCATTCTTTAGGATTAGGTTCTTTACTTTCCAATTAATTTTTAGTCTTTCTTTCCATATAATTTTTATTGCATCATGTAATTTTATTGCATCATGATCTGCAAAGGATACATTCCATATTTCTTCCTTTTTACATTGGATTGTGAAGTTTTTATGCCCTAGTACATGGTCAATTTTTGTGTAGGTGCCATGTACCACTGAGAAAAATGTGTATTCCTTTCTATCCCCATTCAGTTTTGACCAGAGGTCTACCATATCTAACTTATCTAAAATTGTTTTCACCTATTCATATCTTTCTTTTTCATTTTGTGGTTAGATTTATCTAGTTCTAAGAGGGGGATGTTGAGATACCCCACTATTATATTTTTGTTGTATATTTCGTCCTGTAGCTCACTTCCCTTCTCCTCTAAGAATCTAGATGCTATAACACTTGGTGCACATATATTTAGTATTACTATTACTTCAGTGTCTATGGTACCTTTTAGCAAGATGTAGTTTCCTTCCTTACCTCTTTTAATTAAGTCTATTTTTGCTTTTGCTTTGTGTGATATCAGGATTGCTACTTTTTTTTTTTACTTCAGCTAAAGCATAATATATTCTGCTCCAGCTTTTTTCCTTTACTCTTTGTGTATCTCTTTGCTTTAAAAGTATTTCTTGCAAAAAAAAACACAGTTTAAGATTATGGTTTTTAATCCACTCTGTTATCTGCTTTGGTTTTATGGGAGAGTTCATCCCATTCACATTGACAGTTATAATTATTAACTGTGTGTTTCTCTCCATCCTATTTTCCCCTCTATTTATACTTTTCTCTCTCCTTTCACCCTTTCCCTCCTTACCAGTGTTTTCCTTCTGACCACCATCTCACTTAATCTCCCCTCCCTTCTATCAGCCCCACTCCCTTTTCTTTCTGCTTTCCCCAAGTACTATAGACTTCTATACCCAATTGCTCTTCCCTCTTTGAACCAATTCCAATGATAGCAAGGTCAAACAACGCTCATCCCCACTCTTCTTTCCCTCTACTCAAATAAGTCTCTGTGTCTCTTCCTGTCATGTAATTTACCCTATTCTGCCTCCCCCTTTCCTCTTCTCCCAGTATAATCCTTTATTCCACCTCTTAATTAATAATTTTTATCATCACATCAAATTCAACTCATACCCACATCCTCTGTTTATGGATACCCCCTCTATATGATGTAATAAAGATTGTTCTCAAGAGTTGTAAATATCTTCTTGTGTAAAGACATAAACAGTTTGACCTTATTACATGACATGATTTTTTTTTCTTTCCTGTTTAAATTTTTATGCTTCTCTTGAATCTTGTATTTGAAGAACAAATTTTCTGTTCAGCATTGGTTTTTTCATTAGGAAGGATTGAAAGTCTCCTATTTCATTGAAAATTCATCTTTTCCCCTGTAAAATTATATTTAATTTTGCTGGATAATTGATTCTAGATTGTAATCCAAGCTCCTTTGTCTTCTAGAATATCATAATCTAGATTCCCCTGATCCTTTGATATATAAGCTGCTAAGTTCTGCATAATCCTGACTGTGGTTCCATGATAATTAAATCATTCCTTTCTGGATGCTTGCAGCATTTTCACCTTGACCTGATAATTCTGTAATTTGGCTACAATATTCCTTGGAGTTTACATTTGTTTCAAGAGGTGATTGGTAGATTCTTCCAGTGACTATTTTGCTTTCTGGTTCTAGGATACAGGGCAATTTTCCTTGATAATTTCTCTAAAGATACTGTCCAGTCTCTTTTTTTGATCATGGCTTTCAGGTAGTCTGATAATTCTTAAATTATCTCTCCTGGATCTATTTTCCAGGTCAGTTATTTCTCCAGTTAGGTATATTACATTTTCTTCTATTTTTTATGGGTTTTTTTTGATGTCTCATGGAGTCATCAGCTTCCACTTGCCCACTTCTAATTTTCAAGTAATTATTTTCTGGAGTTAGTTAGCTTTTTAACCTCTCTTTTCCATTTGCCAAATTCTCATTTTTAAGAAGTTGTTTTCTTTAGTCAATTCTTGTCCTTCTTTTTCCAAGATATCTCTCATTTCTTTTCCCATGGGGTTTTCTTGTCAGAGATACCTGAATGTGTTACCATATATTTCTCCAATGGCTTAAGACAAACAGAGGTTATGTCACTTGCCTAGGATTACACAAGTGATACTTGTCTGAGGCTGTATTTGAACTCAGTTACTTCCTAGGCAAATAGGGTTAAGTGCCTTGCCTAAGGTCACACATAGCTATTAAGTATCTGAGGTTAGATTTGAACTTAGATATTCATGATTCCAGGCCCAGAACTCTATCCATTGAGCCATTTGGCTGTCCCATCCATCATACTAGCCATATTAAAAAATCACTTTGAACTCAGGAATAGTAACACAGTTAGCAGAAAGTAGAACAACAAGAAGGTGATTCTATTGATCTACCATGAGGAGGACCTTCTTTTGAATTCTTTCTACCAGTAATGGTTTTGGACCACTTCACAATATGGTTTATATTTGCTACAAATATCTCAACAAAATTGAGGTTTACAGTGTGTGACCAGAAAACAAACTGAAATTAATTTGCCCAAGAAGATATAGGCTTTATGATCATAGTCCTTAGATATAAGAGTGTACAAAACATTTTGGACTGGGTCATATGCAGAGTCAAGAAAACAAAAACAGAATTAACTGTGCCGGTCCAAACCGTGCTCTCCCTTTCAGCCAAATCAGCCAACCAGGGTCATACTCACCAATCATCGGCGGACACCCGGGTTTACCAGAGACGAGCTGACCAGGGGGTGCAAAAACCTGAACTTTATTCAATAGTCATCACAGCAAGGCCAGGCAGGAAGGCACACACACACGAGCAGGAGCAGAAGCCGACTCCGCCCCCACCTCCCTGCAGCTCTTTTTAGTACCTTCTTAGTCCCTCCTCCTCAGCCCGCCCATAGTGACTCCTCGAGGATCAAATATCAACAAGGATGTCCAGCGCTAGTGTCCAGACAAAGGGAGCATACGTGGCACAGGAAGTGGGTCCCAGATATTTTGGAAGGAGGCGTGAGGGATCAGTGCATAGACAAAGGAGAATGTACGTGATACAGGAAGTCGGGTCCAGATACCGGGGGGAGGTGTCTGGGGTCAGTGCTACACCTAGGGAGCATACGTGACTCAGGAAGTCAGGTTTGGTCACAGGAAGGAGGCGTCTGGGGTCAGCATAGTACCTAAAGAAGGAGGCTAGACAGAGAGAGCTCGTTCTCAGCTGTCCCCCTCCCAAGCGGCACCGTCCCTGCCTCAGGAGCACACGCTCCGGACACTTCCCTGTACCCTGCTTCCTCCCCAGCCTGTCACAGCTCCATCCAGCACCGCTCCAGTCTCGGGAGAGTGAGCTCCGGTTACCTCTCCGAACCCAGATCCCATCCCAGTACGCCACAACTCCGTCCACCACCACCTCTGCCTCGGGAGCAAGAGCTCCGGTACTTCCTAGTACCCAGTTCCCATCCCCTTCCCATGTTGGCACAATCTTTACTTGGCAGCAGCTAGCATCAGACAGTCCCTCACAATTAACTTACTGAATAAAAACCTTAATGGATGATAGACTTTCTTGTTTCCCTGAATTTAATTTTTTTCTTTTTTTCCATTTCCTAAAGACTATTTCTTTTTTCCATGGGTGCTTTACCTCTATTATAGTTATCCTACCAACTGCTTCAATCATAAGCATGTAGGAGTGTGTGGATTGTTCAGGAGGACTAGCACCTCTGGTATGAAGAATTCCCAAGCGATTTTCAGAACTGTGCATCCACCTTCAGTGTCTACCTAATTCACCCAACTCTCACCTGTGGCTCTGAGAATCTATAGCATGCACAGTGGACACATCCCAGTAGACTATCTTGGTGATGGGCTAAACCAGGTTGAGGGTAACCAACAGTCCTTAAACCTGTTAGGGGAATGTCTGACTAAGCATATGAAAATTTTCTAGGATAGAATAAGTAGATGAGAATTATTTGTTCAAGTGGCTATTAAAGCAGCTAAAGTAGGTGCTGTGGAGCACTTACAGCTTGGTCAGATATGGACAATGCCAAGATCATCCACTATAAACTGAACCATCTGGACTCATCTTGACTTTTGTCCTGCCACTGGACTTTTGAAAACTCTGGAAGAGAAAGTGAGGCTGATGAATTTGTGCAACTCTGCCTCATTTAAATCCAATTCCTGTGCAAGCCAAGACATCACCCATATTGTCACTGGTCCTCTTCTGAAACGAAGGATGTGAGACTTCTAGGAGCCAAGATGGCAGAGTAAGCAGTAAATTGCTCTCACTCTCCCTTATTGTCCTCTGGAAAAAAAAACAAACAGAAAAAAGCACCTCAGGAGAAATCCTGGAAAAATAGAGCCAGTGGAAAGTTGAGGTAGAGCAGTCATTTAGTTCAGGAAACTTGGAGGATCACCAAGGAAATTCTGTCTCCCTCAGGTAAAAGGGGATTACAGACCAGGATGGGAGGTGTCTTGGCAAGCCAACAACATCCTCACCTCAGCAAAACAGCAGGACATCCTCAGCCCCAGGATGGTGGGGCAGGCAAGCAACAACAACATGACTGCCAGTGTGCCTTAGCACAATTAGGTGACCGGCAGACTCCAGCTTGGAGAACTATTATGTGTGTATTTGCAGCCCTGGCAGGCAGGCATCCCCCATAAGCAAACCTCCCCTTCCTTCAGCACAGTGAATAGGTGTCCTTCAGTCAGCAGACCTCCACGTGCAGGCATCCTCCAAGAATCAGACCTCCCTGTGCTTCAATGTAGCCAAGGGAAATGCTGAAAAACCCCACCTGGCCTTGTCACATGCCAGACTCACTGGTAGGACCCCAGCTCAGCTCCAGGTAAGCTGCCACAACCCCACAGCCTCCAGCTTCCAACACCTGAGACCCCAGCACACAAAAACAGTGACCAGGCCCCTGACTCCCAGTACAAAAGCCTAGGACAGTGCCCCCTGTGCCCCAGAAGCAGAGATCAGCTTTAAAGACAGGAAATAGGCAAATATCATGAAAAAAAATTAAAAATGAACATTGATCATAAAGAATTATTACAGTGACAGGAAAGACCAAAACACAAACTCAGAAGAGGCAACATTGTCAGTATACCTACACCTGAAAACTCAAAGAGGGATATGAGCTGGTCTCAAGCCCAAAAAGCCTTCTTGGAAGAACTCAAGAAAGATTTTAAAAGTTAAATAAGAGAGGTAGATGAAAAATTGGGAAAAGAAATGAGAAGTATGGAAGAAAGAGTCAACAGCTTGGGCAAAGAAGGACAAAAATTGGCTGCAGAAAACAATTCCTTAAAAAATAAAATTGGCCAAATGGAAAAAAAATCCACTGAAGAAAATACCTCCTTAAAAAATAGAATTGGCCAAAATTGGCAAAAGAGGCACAAAAACTCACTGAAGAGAACTCCTTAAAAAGTAAAATTGGCCAAATGGAAAAGGAAGTACAAAATCTAACTGAATAAAATAATTCCTTAAAAATTAGAACTGGGCAACTAGAAGCTAATGACTCTGTGAGACATCAAAAATCAGTCAAACAAAATCAAAAGAATGAAAAAAAAATAGAAGAAAATCTGAAATATCTCATTGGAAAAACAACTGACCTGGAAAATAGATCCAGGAAAGATAATTTTAGAATTATTGTTCTACCTGAAATCCACGATAAAAAAAAAAAAATAAAAAGAAGAGCCTGGACAGCATCTTTCAATAAATTTATCAAGGAAAACTGCCATAAGTTCCTAGAGCCAGAGGGTGAAGTAGAAATTGAAAGATGCCACTGATCACCTCTTGAAAGAGTTCTCAAAATGAAAAAAAAAAAATTGTAGCCAAATTGCAAATTATCAGGTCAAGGAGAAAAGACTACAAGCAGCCAAAGAGAAACATTTTAAATATCAGTGAACACCAGTCAGGATTACTCAGGACCTAACAGTTTCTACATTAAAGGATCTGAGGGCATGGAATATGATATTCAGGAAGGCAAAGGAGATTGGATTACAACCAAGGACCAACTACTCAGCAAAATTGAGCATATTCTTTCAGGGGAGCGGATGGACATTCAGTGAGATAGGGGAATTCCAAACTTTAATGATGAAAAAAAAACAGAGGTGAACAGAAAATGTGATCTTCAAATACATGACTCAAGAGAAGCATAATAAACAAATAAACAGGAAAGAAAAAAAGAAACATTTTGTTCAATAAAATTAAACTGTTTACATTTCTACCTGGGAAAATGATATTTCTAACTCTTGAGAAGTGTGTCTTTATTAAGACATTTAGAAAGCTTATACATAGACATAGTGTGTGGATATAAGTTGACATTGACGTAATGATAAACAATTTATTAATTAAGGGGTGAAAAAGAGATTGTACTAGACAAAGAGGAAAGGAGGAGGCAGAAAGGGGTAAATAATATCATATTAAGATGAACAAAGACCTATTGGAGGGAAAGAAAGGAGGGAGGTGAGCATTATTTGAACCTTACAATCATCAGATTTGGCTCAAAGAGGCAATAACATACACACCCAATTGTATATATAAATCTAAAGTAGGAGGAGAAAGGAGAAAGAAAAGGGAGGAGGGAGGGCTGATAGAATGGAGGGTAGATTAAGGGAGGTGGTGGTCAAAAGCAAAACACTGGTGAGGAGAAAAAGGGAAAAAGGAGAAAGAAAAGCATAAATAGGGTGAAAATGGGGTGAAAAAAAGACACAATTAGTAATCATAACTGTGAATATGAATGGAATGAACTCTCTCATAAAATTCTTTGATAGACCCAAAGATGCCAGCTTCTGGAAGAAGAACTCACTATTTGACAAAAAATGCTGGGAAAACCAGAAAATAGTATGGCAGAAACTAGGCATAAACCAATATCTTACACAATATACCAAGATAAGGTCAAAATGGGCACATGATTTAGATATAAAGGATGATACTATTAGCAAATTAGGAGAGCTAGGAATGGTTTACCTGTGAGATTGGTGAAGAATGTAAAAAATTATGACCAAATAAGATATAGAAAACATTATGAAATGCAAAATAAGTAATTTTGATTACATTAAATTGAAAAGTTTTTGCACAAATAAAGCCAAAGCAACCAAGATTAGAAGGGAAGCAGAAAGATGGGAAACAATTTTTTTACAGCCAGTGTCTCTGATAAAGGCCTCATTTCTAAAATATGTAGATAAATGAGTCAAATTGATAAGAATACAAGCCATTCACCAATTGATAATGGTCAAAGAATATGAACATATAGTTTTCAGATGAAGAAATTAAAACTATATAGACATATGAAAAAATGCTCTAAATCACTATTGATTAGAGATATGCAAATTAAAACAACTCTGAGATAATACATCACAACTACCAGATTAGCTAGCATGACATAACTGGAAAATGATAAATGTTAGAGAAGATAGGGGAAAATCAGAACACTAATATATTGCTGATGTAGTTGTGAACTGAACCACCATTCTATAGAACAATTTGGAACTATGCGCAAAAGGCTATTGAAACTGTGCATACTCTTTGATCCAGCAATGCTACTACTTGGTATGAATGTCAAAGAGATCATTAAAAATGGGAAAAGGATCCAAATGTACAAAAATATTGATAGCAGCTCTTTTTGTGGTGGCAGAGAATTGAAAATTGAGGGGATGCCCATCAATTGGGGAATGAACAAGTTGTGGTATATGAATGTTATTAAATACTATTGTTCCATGAAAAATGATAAGATTTTAGAAAAACTGGAAAGACTTGAATGAGCTCATGCAGAGTGAAATGAACAGAACCGGGAGAACATTGTACACAGCAGTAGCAACACTGTGCAATGACCAACCTTGATAGACTCAGCTCTTCTCAGCAATACAGTGATCTAAGTTAGTTCCAAAATACTTATGATCAAAAATATTAACCACATTCGGAGAAAGAACTGTGGAGTCTGAATGTAGGATTGAAGCATACTATTTTCTCTCTCTCTCTCTTTTTCTTTCTCATGTTTTTCACCTTTTGTCCTGATTCTTATTTCACAACATGATTAATGTGAAAATGTGCTTAATATGATTATACATGTATAGCCCATATCAGATTTCATGCCGTCTTAGGTAAGGGGGAGGTCAGGGAGGGAGACAAATTTAGAATCAAAATCTTATAAAAGTGAATATTGAAATCCAAAAATAAATAAATAAACAAACAAACAAATAAATGAATGAATGAATGAATAAACCCAAAATGAATAAATGAACTTAAAAAAATAAATAAATTGTCTTAATCCTAAAATAAATAAATGAACTTTAAAAATAAATGAATAAAGACTAGTCTTAATCCTGAAATAATAAGTAAATGAAATGGATGATGTACCACAACCATGTAAAGCAGTGATTTCACAAATTCAGTGGCAGTGTCAAGAAAAGCTCACGCATGAGTAGTGTTCTAAGGTTTACAAAGTACTTTTCTGTTGGTTAGTGAAGTAAATGTTATTGACTTCATTTAGCAAATTAAGAAATTGAGCCTCAGGTAAGATGAAGTCAGAGGACCTGTTTACAAATACTGATTCTGCCACTAATTACCTAAATTATCTTAGGTAAGACACTTGAAGCAATTAAAAAGGTTCAAGAGATATAATTTCTGGGTAATTTAATCATTTTACTAATAAGGCCAGCAACCAAAAAGACCAAAAACATTCATGACTTATATGCTCTTTTGGAAGAGGAGTGTTCAAAAGGATGGCAATCAACTCTGATTGGTTAACAATTAATGAGAGAATGAAAATTACAATATCATCCACTTAAGTTCCCTCAAGCTTTGGGCAATCTACTCAAAGAATTTGTGCCCCACTTAAGCCTAAAGTGAACACAATGGCTGCCCCACTTGGGTGGGGTCTGAATAAGAAAGTTAGTCCAATCTCTTTATCAGCAATATCCTTCAAGAGACTCAACTTTTAAAATCAGGACTTTAGAAAAAGAGAGAAACTCTGGATTTGTCAAAATCATTTATTATTAATAGTCATTTTTCTCACACTTAACCTATAGCCCTTAATTTCCTCACTATAAATATAAGTGGTTGGACAAGGGTCACAACATCAAATATTTAGCAAGAATCAGAGGCAGAGATCATCAAGTATATTTCTTTTGACTTCCAGCCTGTCATTCTCTTCATTACAACACATTACCTTTCTAGATCTCATAGACAAAGTACTTATTGTCAATTTACTACTAAGGAAAAAACTTACTGGTTAGGTAGAAAGAATTAAATTATCTTTGGTTAAACATCAATTAGGCATTTCTATTCTTGTTATTAAACAGAAGTAAGTTATTAATCAAATGGAATTATATTTCAATTTCCCCTTTAAGTTTTACCATTTTGCATTTGTTTGATTTTATTGGTCTGAAAATAAGTTGTGGAATTAAATTTTGTTTGTTTGTTTTTAATTTGGAACATTATTATATGATAACAAAATGCAAGTTTAGGCTATAACTTGCTATCTTGAAAACAAAAGATTGTGAATTTTATTTTTTTTAAATTTGGGATGCAATTTTTAATTAGTTTTCTGGAATTTTAACAAATTCCAGAAGGGCTTCTTTCTATAAGAAATGACGAATAGGCTGACTTCAGAAAAACCTGGAAAGACTTGTATGGTCTGATACTGAGTGAAGTGAGCAGAACCAAGAGAATGTTGTACACAATAACAGCCATGTTGCATGATGACTAATATTGATAAATTTAACCCTTCCTGGCAATATAAGGATCTAAGACATCTCCAGAGGCCTTGTGATGGAAAATGCTATCCACGCCCAAAGAAAGAACTATGGAAACCGAATTGTTAATTTTTTTTCTCTTCTCTTGAGTTTTGTTTCCTCTTTCTGATGGTTCCTACTATTGATTTTAATTTCTACTTACATCATCACTAATGTGAAAATATGTTTAATATGAATGTAAATGTATAGCCTATATCAGATTATGCGCCGTCTTGGGGAGGGTGGTAGGGATGAAGGGGGAGAAAAATTTTAAACTCAGACGCATATGGAAGTGATTATTGATAAATCAAAATAAATCAATAAAAAAAACAAATTCCAAAAAAAGTTGAAAAGATTGACAGTAGTTACAAAGATAAGTAAATATATTAGATGAAGTACAGAGTTTGCAAAAGCACTAGTTAGTTTCTGTAATCAAAGTTAAATTATAAGTATATTCTCCAAACACCAAATTACTGATGTGCCTATTTGAGAGCCACCATGCTATTAATAACTTATTTTAGAAATTACTCATCTATAAAATTGTCTTACTTTATTCTTCTTTTTGTTGTTGAATCTTATTAATTTATTTTTAGTTTTCAACATTCATTTCCACAAGATTTTGAGTTCAAAATTTTCTCCCTATCTCGCCCCTGCCCCCACTGAAACATGGCATGCATTCTGAATACCCCTTCCCCAAATCTGCCCTTCCTTCCATCACCTCCCCACTCTTATCCCCTTCCCCTTCTGTTTTCCTTTAGGGCAGAATGGATTTCTATACCCCGTTATCTGTATATCTTATTTCCCATTTGCATGTGAAAACAATTTTTAACATTTGTTTTTAAAACTTTGGATTCCAAATTTTATCTCTTTCTCCCTCCCCACCCACCCTAATTAAGAAGGCAAGCAACTCAATACAGGTTATACATGTGCAGTTATGCAAAACACTTCCATAGTAGTCATGTTGTGAAAGACTAAGTATATTTCCCTTAATCCTATCCTGCTCTCCATTTATTCTATTCTCTTTTGACCCTGTCCCTCCTCAGAAGTGTTTGTTTTTGATTACCTCCTCCCCCAATCTGCCCTCCCCTCTATCATCCCCATGCTCTCTTGTCCCTTCCTCCCCCACCCCCATTTTCCTGTAGGGTAAGATAGATTTCCATGCCAAATTGAGTGTGTATATTATTCCCTCAAGCCAAATCCTATGAGAATAAGATCCATTTATTCCCTCTCTCCTTCCCCCACTTCCTCTTCACTGTAAAAGCCTTTTCTTGTCTGTTTTACGTGAGACAATTTAGCCCATTGTAACTCTCCCTTTCTCCTTCTCCCAGTATAATCCTTTCTCACCCCTTAATTTTATTCTCTAGATATCACCCCTTCATCTTCAACTCACCCTGTGCCCTCTATCTATAGATCTATCTATCTATCTATCTATCTATCTATCTATCTATCTATCTATCTAT